TGGTTGAGATGCCCCTTCCAGCTGAGATTTGCTTCTTTCCTGGGGCATTGGTGCTCCTCAGTTTTCAAACCCTAAAACTGGACTGGAAATGTTCTCTTGCCATTAGACTCCTGATTTTTGTTCTTGAATGAAGTGAGCACATACAGAGGTCTTTGACACCTCACACCTTATGCACTGCAAGGGGGCAAAAGCCAAAAAACCCCAAAATACTCTCTGAGTGAATCTTTATGGTGATTCAAAATACTTCAGGTTGATCCTGTCATATGCTGTATAAGTTCCTGACTGATTGTATGGAATTAAGTTATTGGGCAGAGAACCAGCTAATGGAAACACATTGATGAAATCATCTTTGAGGGACATTAAATGGGACTTAAAATAAAGCTGAAATGGCTTTATGGATTTTTCAGTCAAACTGTTTATGAACATTTATCGGTGGTAAATTACACAGTGTCAGAAGAGGGAATCAGTATAATAGAAGCCTCTCTGATATAATACTGTGAGAAAGAATAATTTATTGCCTAGGGATGTACAGTACAGTGTGTTTAAATCCTAATGATATTATGGTTTTCTTCTGTCTTTGGCTGATAGCACATAAGTTACCCTCAGCAGCAGCAGAGTCTCATATGATGAAAAAAAAATTAGTACTTTGCAATGAAATAGAAATTTTCTGTATGTGTCTTTGTGGCAGATAGAAAATGTTTTAATAACTGATAATTCAGGAAGCAGAAACTGTGTTGTACAATAATAAATGTAGGTTACATTTGCTTTATACTCAGTAAAAGAGGAAGAGGGCTAGAGCAGCTTTGACTGAAAAAGGAGATTGTAGCAGCTGATTCTTGAACTGTTGGAGCTGTTTGTTAATACCATTTGCCAAAACCCATCATTTCTCAGGTAGAGGACAGTGAAAATAAGACTAGAAGAATGCAAGACCAGAAGAAAATTGCCGGTCCTGAAAATATTGTCCCTTGGTTCTGGGACACCAAGTCTTCCAGTCAGGAATTTCTCAGATCTGTCATATTGTCTGACCCATGTAACTGAAAAGCTGCTCCCATTGTAGCTCCTCTTTTGGCTAGAAAATCCTCATTTTCCTTCCCAGATATACTCAGGACCAGTTTACTGCTACTCAAATAAGCACTGGCTCCCATATAAACATTGGCTTAGGGCCAGTGTTCTTTTCCCTTGGTGTTATTTACCCTCCTGATGGGTTTGTGCACAGCATGAGGATCCTTCCTGAGCACACCCTGCTGCTCAGCTGCACAGCCAACTCCTTCCAGGCTTCTTTTGCAGGACAGACAGATTTCATGGCAGTTTTTCCTCTCTGGGGATGAGCAGGGGGGCACACAATAGTTTGGGGATTCACTGAAGAGTCTTAAAACAATGTGGTTTCATTTTTTTGTGTGTGTGTTCCTATTAGACTTTATTCTTGCCTTTCAGTTTAATGTTGTGTTTGCCTTCCCTTTGAGTCTGTCCCACTCCCATAAATCAGGAGCAGAATTCAGCTTTTATCCAGGGATATTATATCTTGGAAACATTTAACATGTAGAAGAAATTTTTACTACTTTCTAAGCACACGACCTTGGACTTAATATTTTCAATCATTTGTTACTCCATAACATCCCAGTTTCCCTCAGCAGAGCTGGAATAGCCCAATTCAGTGACAACAGCACATTTCCCTCAAACTTTCCTTCCTTTTTTTGCCAAAGCCTTGAGTCACAGTTGGATTCCATGATCTTCAGAGTCTTTTCCAGCATCAATGATTCTGTGATTCTAAAACCACTAAATGAGGTCACTTCCTCCAGCCTTCACTTTCAACCCCATCCAACACTGCTGCTGTCAGAGCCTGGCTGGGGACTTCCACAGTGGCCAAAAGCCAAACTTTGACACAAATATCCAGTGGAGCTGAATTAGTCCAAGGCAGTTTTTCCTCTCATGAGCTGCTGATCCCCCAGGCAGAGATTGAGACTCTCCAGTGTAGAGTTGAAGGAGCTGGAGGGAGGGGACATGATTGGGGCCCAGAAAATTCCCAATAGCACAGAAAGAAGAGGGTGGTTCTTTAGTGAAATCCTCAGGCAGTGGGGTGAAACCACAGGGAGAACTTCCGCAGAGTGTTTAATTCATCGATCAGCCCCCTGCTACAGGAAGGGGACGCTTAGGACAAGGATTAGGGGAGGTGAGGGAAGGTTATCATTGTTTCTGATAAATTTTCTCTGCCAGTTCAAGGGGCCCTGAGCTGCTGACAGCCAGAGCCAAGGGAGGGATGTCTCAGTCCTGGTCCCTCAGCATCCCCTCGTGGCTGGAGTCCCGCTCAGTGACACAGACAGGTGGCCCTTTGGGAGATTCTGTGTTATTAAAGGAGAATATGAATTATACAGGCAAGGCAGAAAGCCTTATCAAGGCAGGTAGCATTCACTTCAAATTCAGATCAAAGGAGAGAAACAGAAGGGTTTGGAAATCTCATTCCTGTTCCCAGTGCATGAGGGACTTTTAATGGATCTGGCAGGAAAAGGGGATTTGAGAGCTGGGTAGGAAGAGAAAACAAGAAAATGGAAGAACAAATAACCAGCTCTTTCATTTTCAACTTCCTTGAAATGACTGCATTGGGGTTTTCATTGGCCTTGTTTCCAAAGTTGCTTCCTGAACTTAATCTAAAAAATGAAAGCCTGGAAAACCCCAAGTTTAGGAATAAGTTAAAGTTTCTCCTTATTCTGCAGGCACTTCTGGTTAAAGGCAAGTAGTTATTTTGAGTTTGCATGACTTGAGTATCCAACTTAAGGTGTCTAAAAATAAATTAAAATGCCCAGCATAAAGTCACCATTTAAGCCATGTGGGTGGAAAGGGTACAAGGATATCTGGGTGCATCTCAGCTGCACCTCTTCATCCTCCTTCCCTCAAAAATCACTGTTCTATTATGCAGATAAGTGCAGGCTGGATGTTTTGCTACATTTCATTGCAAAGCCAAGAGCCAAGGCAATTGTGTTGGATAAAGCAGAGATTTAAATCATTTGGAAACTGTTGAGAGAGGACAGATCTGATAGTAACAACCTTCATGGTTGGCAAGTTACAGCTGCTTATGACAACTTGTAACAATGAAAGCTTATAGTAAAGTTAAAAGCTCAGTATCTGTATTGTGCCATAGGATCAACTTCAATCCCCAAGTATAAACCTTCAAACTTTAGGCTGCTTTTATCATCTTTCAGTTTACTTTGGTTTTTTCTGGGTTAAAAAGAGTTGGGTAGTTTTTTTATAAATGTTAAGAGTGCTTGTTTTCATTCTAATTTTTTTTTTCCTTTTGCACATTGGGACAGCTTAGTTAATTTATTACAGTGCAAAGAAAGTGGAGTCATACTGCAGTTGTAGGTGTTTCTCACTTATGGCAGCAGTTACAGCAGGATGTTGTCTTGACACGTTTTGGACCATCTCAGAACATCTGTTATTCTGTAATGATGACTTTCAAACTGCTCACAGGGAACAGTCAGCATGTGTTAGGAATGCTCTAAAACTGTACATGTAAAAGTTTCCATCAGGGTCTGTAGTTTGCACCAATAACTTTATCAGACTAAAATCTAAAGAAATAAAAAAATGCCACCAGTGCTGTCTGCATGCTGACACTGAAAATGCTGTGATGACTGCAGGTAAAGAGTGACTAATTGTTCACAGTGTGTCTGAAGGCAAGACCACAGGTCTGAATTTAAGAATATAGGTTGTACTTGCTCATTGGCTTGGCAGCTGTATCTTGGAGAACAGGAACATTAATTTCTAGTGCATACACTCGGTGTGAAGCAGTTAGTGCCACTCTCAGCTGTGTTTTAATTGGGAGTTTCAGTGGGAGCAGGAACGTGATGTTCTGCAGCAGAGAGTCAGTGACAGCACCTGGGGACTCCTGTGCTCCAACAGATATTTTAAAAGTAGAACAGGTTCAGGAAAAATAAAGCAGTGAGAAGTCCAGAGGATTTGCTTCACAGTGATTGATTCAGAAAGCTCAGAACTTCTCAGAGAATCAGAGCAGGCTGGGGGAGTTGGGTCACCATCAGTGTCTGACTAAAGTCTCCTCATGCAAGGCTGGTTGGCACACAAGGACTGGAGAAGGTTCAGTGGCTGAAAGATGAAATGGGACCATTTCAGCTTAGGTGCACATTTTAAATGAGAACAGTCAGTGGAAAGGGTTGGCAGAGGGTGGCAGGGCTTTGGCTCACAGCAGTGATGTGAGGAGAGCACATTTTTCCAGAGAAGAGAGAGCAGGGTTGGTCACAGAATATGGACCCACTTCAGGGATGGCTGGGTGAAATGGCCCAGCTGGGCTGTGCAGGTGGCCATGAAGAGGATTGCAGGGGTCTGGAGCTTAGACAAGGTGTTTCTAGTACCCAGCAGTCTACAGCCAGTCAGCAAATGGGGCAGTGCAGCTTCCCCATTGTCTCTGAGAGACGGGGGAATGAGCAGAAGTTAAATAATTTCTGGCTCAGACATTGAACTGGTGGCCAGGCTGGGACTGGGGCAGGGTCTGCTTGTGCTGCCCTGCTTGAGGCTGCACCTCCCTCCTTTTGTCCAGGCAGGAGCACAGCCTGACTGGAGAGGGGCTTGCAGGGATCCAGTCAGAATCTGCTTTTCTCCCTTGAGCATCTCTGAGAGCCCAAGTGAAAGAAATATCATGACATGCATCCATGTTCTTCCATGAGGGATGCAGCTGGATTAGATGCCTGGTTAGCAAAGGGTCTTTCCCAAGCTCCCAGCATCAGCTGAGTCAGCAGACTCTCCCCAAGTCAGGGTGCAAGCACCTGCTTTTCCCGCCAGAAGTGCAGATTACAAGCAAACCCCATGTGCAATCAAGGCAACCCATTGCAGATGAACAAGGTCTGGCTTTTCTGGGGACAGAAGGGATGTGCAAGAAAGACATGGGGTCAGGCAATGGGTTAAATTGCACCTAGGTATGATTTGACAATCACTCCCCTGATAACAGCTCATAATGCTTACAATTTGTCTTCTGTTTTGTTTTGTGATTTCAGGAGCAGAAGGCACAGTGTTCCCTAAATCTATAGAAACTCCCAATGTCAGGGCAGACCCCTTCAAGGAACTAAGGTAAACTTTGGAATATGGTTTAATGGTAACTCAGTGGAGCCTTGTTGGAGTTGTGCTTACTGCTGGGCATCATTTCTGCTTTTGCATAAGAGCTTGGGAATGTCTTTGGAAGGCATCACAAGAGAGGATGCCGTGGAAGAGAAGGGACCTGCCATATTTACATGTGATATGACCAAACTAAAGGCAATCACAGGTCATGAGAGCAGCATTTCTGCTCTGCAATGTGCTCTGCATACCCTGGGCTCAGCATTTGGGAAAAAAAATAGAATAACCTTTTCTTGGTTGTGCAGGGAGGTGCTGAAGGCTGTGCTGGATCACAGGGAGTAGCAGCAGGCAAAAGGATAATGCTCTCCGGCGTTATCTGACTTGCAGAATTGCAAACCCTCCCTGACCTACCCAGGGCACAGCTGTGCACATGTGTAACTGCTGGCACTTGCAGAGGTGCCACTGCTGACAGCATCGTGCCATGGGGGAATAAACAGCTCTGCCCTCGACCTAAGGCCAGGAGTTATATTTACTTCATTTTTAAAAATAACTTTTAAAAAATGTGGCACTACAGGTAACTTGAATGACTAGCCTCTGGAAAGATACTACTCATATGGCCTAAAAAATTATTGACTGAATCTCCTGATATTTCTGACCAAGAGTTCTGTAGGGGTTTGCCTCAATACTCAAATTATCCTTCCTTAGAAAAAGAGAGAGAAAGAGGGAGAGAGTTTGGTATTTGCAGGGTTCCCCAGATGGAGGAGGAATTGAGAATCTGATTCCATGTTCTTAAAAGGCTAATTTATTATTTTATGATATTGTATTACATTAAAGAATGCTATACTAAAACTATAATAAAACTATACTAAAGAATGGAGAAAGGATACAGACAGAAGGGTAAAGGATAATAATGGAAAACCCCTCACTCCTTCCAGGGTCATGACACAGCCTGACCGTGATTGGTCATTAAGTCAAAACAATTCACATGTTGGATAAACACTGTCCAAACCACATTCCAGCAAAACACAGGAGAAGCAAATGACATAATATTGTTTTCCTTTTTCCCTGAGGCTTCTCAGCTTCCCAGGAGAGCAATCCTGGCAAAGGATTTTTTTCAGAAAATATGACAGTGACAGAGAGAGAAATATAAAAATAAAAACAATAAAAAAAAAAAAAAGGCAGAAGGACATTTTGTCCTTAAACCTTGGGTTGCCAACTCTCCTTTGCTGTAAAGGGCTGGGGATGGAGCAATCCTGAGCCAGCTGAAGTTGAGCACGAGCACTGCTGGGTTACTGCAGATGCAAGGGGCTGAGAGGGAGCACCTCTCATGGATCCCCTGCTCTGATACCAGGGATGGTTATGGCCCAGCTAGGTCACCAGGGAAGATGAAGAATATCCCACCTGCCTTCCCTTGGGTGTGTCTCTACCTTTGTTCCCCCAGGAAACCCTCTAATTGTTCCCATTTCCCACTCTGGGCATCATCTGTCAGACAGCAGCAGTGGAAGTGTGCTTGGGTTTGTTGTGAAAGTTTGCTCTCTTCCTCCAGGCAGGGACTTTAACCCCGGCTCGTGGTTTTCCCAGTTTGGGTCTGCTTCCTTTAAAAAAAGAGGAAATGTGGTGTTTACTCACTGTGACATGCAGCTGGCAGGGCAGGGGCTGGTGTGGGGAAAGGAGACTGAGGGCAGGGAGTGCTGGGGCAAGGCTCTTGATTTCCCTGGAAAAGCCAAGCAAAGGCACCAGCAAATGGATTTCTAGGTGACCTCCATGTGACTGAGGCTTTCTGGCATAGCCCATGTTTACTGACATTTTCATTTAAAAAAAACCCACAAAAACAAACAAACAAAACCCCAAAACAAAAACAAACAACCCACCCCCAAAAAACAAGAACAAGGCAACAAAAAAAACCCCAGCAAAATCTTTTACAAGAACCAAAATTTACAAAACCAGGTCTTGAGTAGTGCAAAAGAGATGTGAGATTTAGGTCCAAGTTTGTGGTGATTTAAGGCTTTTCTAAAATGGGAAAGGGGGAAAAAAATCCAAGTAAGTGTAGGATGTGGTATTGGAGGGGAAAAATGTGAATTGAAAGAGCTTTAACCTGATTGACTATGCTTCTGTTCCAAAGCAAATTAAGCTAAATGAAATTGAAATGAATTAATGGCAGTATCCATGCAAGGGATTGATTCAGTATATTTGATCTGCTTTAAATTCATGTTGTTGTTTCACTTGTTTTATGTGGAGAGCTGTTAGGTAACTGATTTCCTTTCAAATTAGTGAACGGAGTGAAAAAAATCCTTTAAAATTTGTTGTGGTTTTTGTATTTTTTTAAAGGAAAATTATTGAATAGAATTTAGCTGGGGGAAAAAAGGTCCCAGAAAGTGCTAAAATACTTTGTGTGCTTCTGACAAGTTTATCTTGGCAAAAAATAAATGTTTTTACAACATCCTGAGGAGAAAAGAGCCAGTGGTGTAGGGTGTGTAGAGAAAGCAAGGTTTTCCAAGAGCAAATGCTCTGCTGCTCCCCAGACCAAGATCCATCCATTTCTCTCTCCATGTTGGATCATTGGCTGCTTTTTAGGTAAAACGGTGCCTTTTGGGGGCAGTACAGAGTTAGTAGTGAAAATAATCTCACTCTGAGGGGAGATTTTTTGCTTCCTTCCTATTTTGATAGCACAGTGTGTGCATAAGGTGTCCTTTTTGCCTATTTACAAAGATGCTGCAGTGAAATGGGGCTGGATGAGATGGGCCCTGAGCTGTCACACATTGCTGGGGAAGCAGCAGTGAAATCACACCCTCAGTAGCTGGCTTGCCTCTAAAAGACCTTTTTCTGCAATAAATAGTGCTTTCTTTCCTGCTTAGGCTGAACTTCTCAGGTGGAAAGTGCACATTCAGCTGCTGCAGGTGCCCCCAGGCACCACCAGCCTCCATCTTTATCCCAAAGCAAGGATTTTGATCCACTGGGGATTTCTCCCTTTGCTCTTGTCAGTGCCCACTCCTTTTGTTAGATTCCAAAATAAGGTGGCAGCTGTCACAAAGAGAGGAGAGACCAGTGCTCCTGTCACAGCTGGCAGTCACATCAGCTGCGTGTCCTCCTTGCCTTCCTCCTCTCCTGGACAGACGGACTGGCAGGACAGACAGGACGTGCCACTGCTGTCCCCAAGGCCTGCAGTCACACCTGTGTGCCACCACAGCTAACACTCTCCAGGTGACAGGACATTGTTCTCACCAGGCTTTCTGTCCCTTTGGCTGTGAATGGTTTTCATCATTCAGCTTTATGGGTAAATCAGCTGCTCTTTCAGGTGCTCCTCATCATCCTGGTGATCCTCTTGGCTCAGTGTTCTTTTTAAAACATTTTTGCAGTGGTTTAGGAGAGAATCCCAGTGGGAATATGTGCACAGCCTTTTCCTGACATGCTGAGCCTTTCTCAAGGCTCCAAGATTTGCTTTTGTGCTGGTTTGAGCCTGCACTGGGCTGGACTTTGCTGCAGACAGACTCAGGAGCCCTGAGATATTCCTGCTCAGTGTCCACTGTGCTAGGAATGCCAAAGCCCATTAATGTCTTGTTTAATTCAGAGTGTCATTAACAGCTCATGTTTCTTATCTAGACTCTACAATATTCTTTAATGGTGACTTAAAAACTAGACACGGTTGACAAATTTTTGATTTACTTTTGTGAACTTCTTCATGATTTTACATATTTAAGGTAATTGTAGACTCCTGAATGTATTTTTTGTTGTTTGTTGGATTCTAAACTGGTCAAAAACTGTAAAAAGGAAAGCAAACAAATCCAAATTAATTGTAAATACTTGGGATGTTTAGCATTGCCATCTGGTATTGTCCCAAAATAGTTTAGGGGGAGGGCTTGGGAGATTTGTTTGGACATAGAAATATTTGTATTCATCTGCATTGATGCTTTTTAAAGCAGGTTGGTGCCTTTGACATATGGTAATGTGATTGCTTATGTATAAAAGTTGAATTCAATATGACCTTTTCTGACTGGATTATTTGAGCAGCACCCAGGTAACTTGTCAAGAGGCTGCCTTGAGAACCTCTCCTTGACATTGGCAGGAATCACCTGCCTTTTTCTATTTACATTCCTCCAAAAAAACAAATACATGCCAGAGATGCAAACAGAAATTGTCCATCAAACACCAGATCAGCACTCTGCAGAGGTGAGGGATAAAGGCTGGGCTAGCCAGTGAATAAGGAAGAAGGAAATAGTTGGAGGGGAAGGGATTAAAAGGTGGGTGATGAAATAGAAGATAAAAGTCTCAGGAGGATGCTGTTAAAGTGCCAGGTGCTGGAGGCTGGGGATGGGGTGGGGTTGGGGCAGAGCTGCCTTCAGTACAAATGTCCAGCTCGTGCTTGGAAACCTGCTCTGGGGTATTTCTGTTCCCAGAGTTAAATAAAAAGAAATCAGACAGCATGAAATTCACTCCATGAGGGGCAAGCACACATCTGGAATTCATCTACAGATATTGTAGGTTGAAAATGCAGTAAATTGCTCATCCAAGGCCAGGAAGCCAGGGGATGACTGTTTTTTCTATAATGCACAAATATAGTTAAGGGAGAATTAATCCCTTGGGCTTAAAGGGGTAATTTTTGGCTAAAGTTAATTATGAAGCACTGAAAGCACGAAATGGCAGATGAAATGTGCTTGCTGCTTGATTTTATTAGTGCAATTCCACCTCACCATGTACAGTACTGAACTATCCAAATAGTCCAAGTGAGACCTATTGTAACAAAAAACAATTTAAATACAGTGCTGAGCTAACATAACAAGACTCATTTTGGAAAAACAGGAATTCTTACCAAGTTAAGGTTTTTGTCAGCTATTTCACAAGGCACCATAGATAAGTAGGTACAAAAATAATATTTCTGTCTAAAACCAATTACATTAATAATGATTAAGAGGAGAAAAATGAGAAGAAATGCAAAAAATGAATGGTATAAAAGAGGAAGTAATTGGTGAGAAATGAAAGTCGTTTATAGAGAGTAATATATGATACTGAAACACTGT